GCATCTGTGCTGTGGACATGCATCTGTGCTGTGGGTGCACAGATAGCCTTTCAAGACCCTGCTTTCAGTTCTTTCGGGTATATACTTAGAAGTGGAGTGGCTAAGCCATATGGTAATTTCATTTTTGATGTTTTGAGGAGCTGCCACACTGTTTTCCACAACAGCTGTACCATTTTACTTTCTGCTCAAAAAGCCATATGGTAATTTCATTTTTGATGTTTTGAGGAGCTGCCACACTGTTTTCCACAACAGCTGTACCATTTTACTTTCTGCTCAATAGTGCACAAGAGTTTTAATTTCTCCACACCAATATCAGTACTTGTCATTTTCTGTTTTTTTCTTTTTAATAGAATCCATCCTAATGGGTGTGAGGTGGTATGTCATTGTAGTTTTATTTGCATTTCCCTACTGATTAGTGATGTTGAGCATCTTTTCATGTGCTTATTGGCCATTTGTATGTATCTTCTTTGGAGAAATGTCTATTCAAGTTCTTTGCCCATGTTTCAATCAGGTTGTTTTTACTGTTGAGTTTTAGGAGCTCTTTATTTATTTTTTATATTAAAACCTTATCAGTTATGTAATTTGCAAATATGTTCTTCCATTCTGTGAGCTGACTTTTTACTCTGTAGGTAGAATCTTTTGTTGCACAGAGTTTTAAAATTTTCATGAAGTTCAGTTTGTTTATTTTTTTTTCTCTTGTTGCCTGTGCAGAGGTGGCATTTTGAGAGATCTGGGAGCATGAGCTGGGGTACCACAGGGCAGAAAGTCCCTGGGTGCTGTCATGATGGTTTAGAGCACAGCCGTATGATAAATATTTCATTCTTTATTTTAACCTGTGACACATTGTTGACTCTTGCTTCATGTTTTGGGTGTTTGTTTAGATGAAGCTAAATGTCGACCATCTGTATTGCTTTTCATTCCTCCCTGTGTCTCTTACCTTCCACTTGGGATTGTTTACTTCTCTTACTCACACCCTTGTATTTCCTGAGCATGGATCTTTTAGCAGTTATTTATATTTTGCAGAACTTTGAAGATAGCATTCCACTATTTTAATGTTAATTGTTTCTTTAGAGAACCCAATATCATCAGATCCTCATTCCCTTATAAATAAGTCAACTTTTCTTCCCTGTGGCTTATCAGATTTTGTCTTTTTCTGCAATTTCATTGTGATGTATCTTTATATAGATTTCTTCTTATTTCTTCTGCTGTGTATTTGTTGAGCTTGAATTTATGGTTTGGAATCTTTCATCAGTTTTGGCAAATTCTCAGCTATTAAGTATTGCTTCTGTCCCATTTCTCCTCTCCTTCTTAGACTCCAGTGATATGTGTTAGATGTTCTCAACCTATTTTCTGTGTCTCCTAGCAATTCACAAGGAATAATTTCTTCTGATGTATCTTCCAGTTCATTTATTCTCTCTTTAGGTCTAACCTGCTGTTAAATCCATCAAGTTCTTACCATGCTATTCTCTTTTTTAATTCCAGATTTTCTATTTCTTTCTTTTATACATATGCGGTTTCACTTTTTATATTCCAGTTTTTGCTGGGGCTTTTGAATCATGTCCTATTTCTTTGGACATAACAAATATTGTTCTTTCATTGTGTACATCTGATCCTGCCATTATCTTAAGTCTTTGAGGGTTAGTTTCTATTGCATGTTGCCCCTGCTGGTTCTTCTCATAATGTCTTGTTTCCTTGTAGACCTACTTATCTTTGTGCTATTCACCATATTTGAGGATTATTTATAGGAATAATTTGATACCTAAGATGCCATCTTTCTCCAAAGATGGTTTTCATTTGCTTCTTTCATTTGCCATATGTCTAAATGCACTACCATTCTGGGTGCTGCAGGTAGACACCTACCTGCTCCCTAGTGTTCCTAATTTGCTCAACTACCTAACAGCTTTCTACATTCTTGTCCACTTATTTATGCAATTTCTCCCCTATTTACTCAATTTCGTTCCATACATAGTTCAATGCTAATATTTATTGAGCTGAGCTAAATATATGATAGGCACTGGACTGACATGGACTATCTCATCAAGTCCAACCAACCACCTGATTAAGAAGGTATTATGACTACTCCACTTTACAAGTGAAAAACAAAAAGACTTAAAGAGCTGGTTACTTGTCCAAGGTCAGGTGCTAGGAGATGAAAGCAGGTTTGTCTGATGTCAGAGCTCATGCTCTTTACCAGAGATTGGCTAACCTTTCCTGTAAAAGACAAATAGTTAATATTTTAGGCTTCGTAGGTCACACAGTCTCTGTCACAACTATTCAGCTCTGCCACTGTAGCAACAAAGAAACCATAGACGACATGTAAATGAAGCAGTTGCCAGTAAAATGTATGGAAGTAGGTGGTGGGAAAGATCTGGCTCAGAGGCTGTACTTTACCCATCCCTGCTCTTAACTACACTATTCTGGTATTTTTTTTCCTTCTCTCTCCAAAGTTTTCAGTTCACCAAATATTTATAGCATTGCTTCTAAGCACAAGGCACTGAGATTGGTCCTGGATGGAATGAGGAAGACAGAATCCCTGCCTTGAGGGACCTCAGACACAGGCAGATGGTACATAAACACATCTATAGTATACAAGGTTGACTATGGAAAGTCAGTGCCAAAAGAGGGGCGTGGACTGAGCTTTTCCGACTGACACATGGTGGAGTAGGTGGCACTAGCATAAACTCTGCAGTGAGAGGATCAAAAGCAGAGATGGAAGGAGAAAGTGTTAGAGACAAGGACCCCACAGGAAAGAGTTTTCCTACCCATCTGTTACTCATCTTCTATTCTCTTTACCAGTATCCACCTATTTCCTCTCTCTTTTCCTTGTCCAAACCAGCACTTGGTCCAAACTTTTTTTGTCTTGCAATATACCAACTATCTCCCTTGCTTTCCTTTTTACCCCTTCCCTTATTTCCTTTCTTTTCACTTCTTGATTACTGAATCATTGCTGATCCAGTTCTTCTGTGGGCAGTTTATATCACGAATTTCATCTGAAGCTTAAGTCATGTATGTCAATGTGGTGGCATGTCCATCTATGGCAAACAATCACGTAACATCAAAAAATGCCATTTAGCCTAAGTGAAATATTAACTTAGTTCTGTCAGGTCCGTCAAGGTTGAAAATCCTCTAGTCAATTCCGGGCATTGAATAGCACGCACTCTGACCAATTTATATCCGTTTGTTCCTCATACTTGTCAATACTTTAGTCTGTCCTATTAATCTCCTTTCTTATGTGTTTTTCCCCCCTCCCCTCTTTCCGTACTTTCTGGATTGCTGTACTTCTCCTGGAGTCATGCCATTTCCTTCCTCCTTTCTGAAAGTATCTTTTAAAAATATCATTTGTTCATTAATTCATCTAAAATGTATTGAGCCACCACCACATAGTGGGTCCTTTTCTAGGTGCTGGAATACATTCTCGCAGTAAACAAAATAGACCAGTAACAATAAACAAAATGGATAAGTAAAGTATGATTTAGAAAGCGTTAAGTGCTATGGAGAAAGGTTCTTGAGGATCAGGTATTTGGGTGTGGGTTACAATTTTAAAGACTCAGTAAGAGATCACTGGGGCGGACAGTTGAAGGAAGGAAGGGAGCAAACCATGCAAGTGTCTGCTGGGAGAGTGTGGAAGGTGTTCCACGTACAAGGAGAACACGCGTGAAGTCTTGAAGCAGGCGGGTACCTCCCCTGGCTGAGAACAAGCAGCCCATCGTGGTTCAGCACGAGGAAGTAAGAGGCCAGGTGATCAGAGGCTGGGGAGGAGGAGGGAGGCAGGCTATTTAGGAACTTTTCCATTGGGAGAATTTTGGCTTTTACCCTGAGTGAAATGGAAATCCTTCAGAGAGTTTTGGGCTAAGGGATATGTTGACAGATATTTTTAAAGAATCTGAAGTGTAGGGAGGCAAGAGTAGAAGCAAAGAAACCAATCAGGATGATACTGCAATATTCCAGGCAATAAACGTGAATATTAGGGAGAATGTTTACTGGAAGAATTGCAGCAGTTACTTTTGTTTTACAATTGAGGAGAGAAAACCAAGGCTAAAGTCTCTATCTATGACAATATATCTTACTATCCCCTGTTCCTCAAGGAAAAATTTGGGGATTTTGCTGTTAGTCTAAGGATTGATTGTTAAACGTTTTTAATTATCTTGGGTGCTGCTTGGTGTTTTGATGCTGGGCACGCAGTAGGCACACAGAACTATTTGCAAAATGAGTGACTATGTAGTCAGGTCAATGGGTAAGGCTGGATTACATATCCTCGCTCGATGTGCCTGATTCATTTTTCTAACGTATCTTTTGGTATTTGCTGTCTTTAAATTGTATTTAGCAAAGGACATAAAAAATGGCACATTATAAACGACCTCCTAGTCTTCAAATCTACATAGTATGTGTTCGCTCATTTTAAGTGGTCCCACAGCAGTTGCACAGTCCTCCATCACAGCAATTGTCACCTCTTTCAACAGGGCCTGCGTCCCTTCTGGGTGGGGAGCATCTGGCGAGCACAGGACTTGGCAATAATGCTTGTTCAAAGAAAGTATACGTGAATGATAAAGGGCAGGGGAAAGAAAAATGTGAGTTACCACTACCAGCCTGAGAACCATCTGATTCCCAGGAAATACATTCATTTCCCTTAGAAAAATATTCTTACCCTCCTGATGCAGAATTTAGCTCCTTTACTACTAATTTTATTTTAAGCCCTCGATGAGTTGGAGCAACGCGTTCTCCCCTACGTGAAGCGCCTGGGACGTGACCTGGCGGCGGTTCGTGGTCACTAAGTACCGGGAACTGGGCGTGCAGGCGGAGACTCGCAAGCTGGTGGCAGACGCCCCAGCTCCCAGGGTGCGTGCGGGGACACCGGCCACCCCGCACCCGCAGCAGGGTGGGCGTCCCAGCCCTCGGCTCCCTGGAGGGCCCAGCTCCACGACCGCACCCGCCGCGCAACGGGACTTCCGCTCGCGCCCCGCCCCGTAGGCGGGACTTCCGCCCGCGCCCCCGCCCGCGCCACGCCGGCCTCCTCCCACCCGGGGCGTGTCCTCGGTCTTCCGCCGGCGAAGGGCGGCCGCGGCGCGGAGGCGTCTGCGGGCGCGCTGCTGCCGCTTCCCCTGCTCCTGCTGCCGTGCGCCTCTCCCGCCCCCTCGTCGTCGCCCGCTCTGCCCGAGCTGCAGGCGGCAAGATGGCGGCGCCCAGGCCGCCCCCCGCCCGGCTGTCCGGCGTCATGGTGCCCGCGCCCATCCAGGACCTGGAGGCTCTCCGCGCGCTGACGGCGCTCTTCAAAGAGCAGCGGAATCGGTAACGGCCCGGCGGCGCGCGGCGCGGGGGATCGGGCCGCCCTCCTCCCGGGACCCCGGGGGCGGAGGCCTCCGCGGGCGGCCGAGCGCCCCGGGCCGCGCATCCGGTCCCGCGCCGGGGCCCGGGGGGCTGACACCTGCGGCCCGCCCGCCAGTGCGGGCGTGAAGACGGGCGCGGGATGGGGACCGTGACAAGGGAGCCCTTGGCCGCTGTGCGCCCGGTGTGTCACTTGAGCGCGCGGCTGGCGCCCCCGTAACGCGAGCTGCTGCTCTAGGCGCCGCTGGGCGCGGACCGCCGAGGCTGCCCCCGAGTCCCGGAGCATCTATTACACTGGGGCGGGGGGAGACGCGGTGCGGATGTGCACGGTGGGCGGTCGCGTGAACACCGGTCACCAAGCCCGGGGGCTGGATCGGCGCTCCACTCCGCCTGCCTGTCGGCCCAGGCTTGGCCCTCCGTGGGCCAGAGCTTTGTGGAGTGCGGAGTCACCGCTCAAGTCCCGCCTGCCGCTGGGAGGCCGGGTAGCCAGGTAAAAAGGTGCGCAGCAGGCTTTGGTCCCTGGCCTTACTAGCTGTGCATGACTGGCCAGTTTCTCTAAGCCTTAGATTTCTTGCCTAAGAACGTAAATATAATCCGTAACTTCGTGCTGGATTGTACAGAGGAATACATGAAATAAAGCATGTGAAGATATAAAGTATGTGACGCCCTCAGTTAGTGCTTGTTTGATTTCTGGTGTTCCCTCGGCTTCAGTTTCCTCATCTGTTAAATGGGGTTGACCAGTACCTCCCTGGTAGGATTAAATGAGGTAATGTACCTTGGTGCATACCTGACACATAGTGCTAAGTAAATGTTAGCTGATACTATTATCATTTAGTACATTTATCGACCTGTCCCCCATGTGCCAGGTTTTGTGCTAGGGGACGAAGTAAACTACAGAGTCCTCTGCTGGGAAGTCCTGTTCTGGGGAGCCTGCAGGCAATTTTGCAGTCATGGGGGTATGTACAGAGTAGAGGGAGCAAAGAAGAAAGGAACAGCTAGGCTTGGATTGGGCGCGGTGCTCTCTAGAGGTCTTCCGGTCTTTAGGCTAGACTCCTTCATCTGAGCACGTCTGCTACCTCAGATCCCCGTAGAAGTGTTAACTATTGAAAGTGCTTTAAGTTAGGACTCAACCCCTTGGGCTTTTTGGGAGATAGGTTAGTCAATGTGATACTCCCGCGAGATGTGTTTCAGTTACTGCTTCAGCACATCTGTACCAGGGCAGACCCTTCTTTTATGCAATTATCAGCCATCCGCCGTTTGTTGAGCATCTACTCTGAAACGGGTTCTTCGCTAAGGGCTGAGGGTGCAAAGATGAACGTGACATGATCCTGTTTTTTCAAGTGTGTTAGGGAAATTGCTGTGTAAAGAAATTGTAATGGGGGTCTAGACAAGAGGTAATGGGGGTCTGACACACAGGGAGCTTGTGGATCTGCCGGATGGGTTGGCAGGCCATGAAAGGCTTCAGATTGCTTGGTTGTGTGACTCACAGACAAGGGCTAATTGCTAAGATCAGTATATGCAAAGGGGCCATATGCTGTTTCTTTTTTTTTTTTTGGTGGGGTCCCTGAGGATTAAGTGCAACAACATAGGTAAGGTGTCTTGGACAGAGGAGAAATTCAAACATCAGATCCCTTTTTATAACCTGTAGCATAAAGTCCCGAGACCCTGAGCCAGTTTACAGGCTTTGATAGTCTTGTGAGGGGAGTTGATGGGGAACCTTGGAAGTTTTTTTCGAGGGAACAGCATGTTAAGATCTACATATTAGGTCTCTGGCTGCCATGGTGAGGGATAAATTAGAGGCAGGGGACTTTTTAAAAGCTGATGTAGAAGCCCAAGTGAAAGAAATGCCAAATGAGGACATTGTCTAGGGGGATGGATAGGAAAAATCCTGAAAAATTACCTGCAAGGTGGAATGGACAGGATTCAGGGACCCATTGGACTGCTGGGGGAGAACAGGAAATGAAGGCGGTTCCCACGTTGGGCTCTAGCTTTTCTAGGATACAATCCTTGTTCAGGCAGACTTTGGAGACCAGGGAAGGTGAACTGATGTGCAGGTCTTGGGATGGGGAGACATAGTTGTGTGGTGGTGCAGAGAGCTGTTGAGGGTTAGTAAGGACTCGCTTCCAGTCCTGTCCTGTCTGCTACTGCTTCTCGTGTGTCTTTGGGCAGACTGCCTGCCGTCCCTCAGAAGGGTCTCCTGGGGCATCAGGCCAGAGTCCAGCGGCTCTGAGAGGACCCCGCCAGTGCAGATGGACCTAGACGGAGGGTGGGCCAAGACAGGAGCTGAATGGGGCCTAAAGTGAAACCAAAGGAGGCCTCAGAGTGGCGAGCAGAAGACACCAGACAGCAAAAACAGACCAAGGAAGGTGAGAAAGTAACTGATGGAACAGAAGATAAGCATCGTAGCTGAAGTAGTGTATTTTGTAGTCCTTCCAGGTGTTTGATGCTACAAAATCAGCTGCTCTCTGCGGTGGCTGGAGTAATGGAAGGAAGTGGCATGGAGTGGAAGGAACTATGGCTTGGGAATCAGCTAGACTAGGACAGGAATCCTGGTTTACCTCTCTGGACTTCGGATTTCTCATCTTGGAAGTGGGGGTGAAGCTGCCCACTTGGCAGGATTATTGTGAGGATCTGTAATGTTATATGTACAGCACCGTGTTTTATGCGTAGTAGATGCCATTGATTTACAGCTGCTGTTAAAAAGGAACAGGGCTGTAAGCAACCAAGAACCCAACTGTGTTTAATCTCCTGCCTACAGAAGGCAGTGGAATCTGTATCAGAAAGATGATGATTTATTCTCATATTTGGGTTTCCAGGGCAAGGGATCCCAGGATTTCATTACAATTTTTAGCAACCCCCAAGTGAGGGGAAATTCTCATACTCCGTTGTAGTGGTCTTAGATATGTCCCTAAATCCTCTGATACTCTGTCCTTTGAGAGGAGGAGGTTAATTCCTCTCCCCCGAGCATGGGCTGAATTTAATGATCTGCTTTTAAATAGTAGATTTTGCCAGAAGGGACAGTGTGTGACTTCTGAGACTGGGTCCCATGAGGCATTAACAGCTTCCTCTCTGCTCTCTCTGCTCTCTGGGTCACTCACTCTTGCAAAGCCAGCTGCCATGTTGTGAGGACACTGAAGCATTCTTGTAGAGAGATCTGTGGTGAGGAACTGGGGCCTCCTGTAGCAGCCTTGTGATGAACCATCATGGAAGCGGATCCTCTCAGTCCCAGTCAAGCCTTCAGCCATGTGTGCAACCTCATGAGACCCTTTCCAGCCAATCCCAGATTCCTGACCCTCAGACCTGTGTGAGACCAACAATGGTATTATTTTAAACTGCTAAGCGTTGGCGTAATTTGTAATATAGCTACAGATCATTAATATACCAATCTAAATCCTTTGTGGTCTGGATCCTATAAACTACCTCTTAAATACTATCTTAATCATTCAAATCCATAGAAAATTGCTTATGGTGATAAATTGTCAGTACTAAGATAATAAGCTATTTTTTTTCCTGTGGAAGATAATTCTTTTAATTTTAAATGTGTTTAATTCTTTTTATTTAATGTACATATTTGCATCTTTAGCATTTATTTAACAAGTGATGTCTTTTCTTGCTGTGCTGTGAGTCTTTTCAGGTCATGTTAAATTCTTTCCGGACAAATACATTAAAAATTCTACTTTTGACCTTTTCCTGTAGGTTTTCTAAACCTTTAGTTACCTTTGTGATATGTCTCTCTGTCATCTATCTTCATGATATATCCAGACCCCCTGTTAGAGTGTAGAGCCAAGTGAGATGGTTGTCATACTGTACATCTCTGCTGTCCGTTAAGTAGCCACTAGCTACACATGACTATTTAAATTAGAAATAAGTAAAATCAATAATTCTGTTCCTTACATGCACCAGTCACGTTTTAGGTACTCAGCGGCCACATGGGGCTAGTGGTTCCCTTACTGGACAGTGCAGAGATGGAGTAGTTAACTGTAGAAAGTTCTTTTGGATAGCGTTGCTCTGTAATTTATTTTTTCTGTAGAGTGGACTATGTTCTGGTTCTTGAGTATTCATGAAATAATGCAATGCTTGGATGCAGCTCTCTGTAAAGTCTTCTCATACTTACCCTGGTATCGCCTCGCTGCTCTTCCATCTGGTAAGCTTCCTTAATAAAGTGAGCTCAGCACATTCACTGTATCCCCAGCATCTAGCATAGTCTGGTAATTGTGGGTGTTCAGCACATTCTTGTGGAATTGCTGTTTGTATAGCTCGTTGTTCATTTGCATGCTTGGTCTTTCTCTTCCATACTCATGTAGGCAATAATTCTTTTCAGCTTCTGTCACTATGGTTTCTCCTTTAGTCTGTGTTTAGTCAAACCAGGTTCTTCTGTTGACTTCCTTCAAGATTTTACTCATCTTAATAAATAGTGAAAATACTTCTCTTCATATTTCTGAACCCCTTTACCATGTAAACTCCAGTTTTGTTTTTTTAAAAAAACAGAGTACATTCCAACGTCCTGTGTAGTTATTTATGTATAGTTCCAACATACGTTATTTATAGTGATTTCTTACTTATTTTCTGTCTCCTTCCAGAGTGGATTGCCCATGAAAACAAGAGATGTTTGGTTTTTTTGTTTGGAATATCCTGTTTGGATAATCCTTACTGAATTTGATGTTTTTATCAGTCGGGGCAATTGTTAGCCAGTATTTCTTCAAATACTGCTTTGCTCCTATTCTTTCCTTCTAAGACTCCAATTACATGTGTGTTAAACCTTTCAGTACATTTTATGTGTCTCAGAGGCTTCTTTCTGTATTTTACATTCTCTTTGACCTTGTTTGAAAAATTTCTACTCATCTGCCTTCTAAGTCTCTAGTCCTCTTTTCTGCTAATCTACTCCATCATCTACTGTCATCCATTATCAGTATCCATATGTCATCCATTAGGTATTGTATTTTTGAGGTAGTGTAGAATATCTG